CGAAACTACCGAGAAACTCGAATAATAAAAGATGTGGAATTATTTTCAATTGATTGAATGTTAAAACAAAGTTTGTTTAATTCATCTTTAGGACATGACGAATCTTGTGAATTTCAGCGCATAGTATGCGCCTCAGCCTTTGACTGATAAAAACAATAATTGAATTTTCGGTTACAGAAGAATGGAGTTATTTACAATACATTTGCCAGGTAAATTTACGTCATACCATAACATTTAAACTTTCCTAGAGTGTGGTAACCGTATTCACCAGAATGGCCAGTATCTCCAAACCTCAACTGTACGACAGGAAGGAGAGACTTTTCTGTAAGAAGGCCGCTGTCCTCGCGCCATATTTCATCATTTTTATCGCAGTTGCATCCTTTATTGCTGACCACACATGAATTCGTCACCCCACATGCGCACTTGTTCGAATCAGCCGGCGTTGCACCACCCCAGTACGTTATTTTAATGTTGTCACGTGATACCCACCAACCGTATCCATTAATGAGAAGCATGGAGTGGAAACATTCGTACTTGATAAACTGCTCACAATTTGTTGAGTTAGTTGCAAGGGCAGCTAACTGAGTAACACTGGCTCCTATGTAAACAACATTACGAACATAGCTTCCTGCAGCTTCATATCCTTTCACCAAAATTCTATCTTCACTGTCATGACCAACGACTGTCACGCCAATTCCGTTCTTGTCAGTCATTTCACAGAAGACGCTGAAGGGTTGGTAGCCTCCTTCACCATCAGGATCAATAACGTAGGAACCACTTGTGGCTTGTGGACTGTGCGATTTTATTTCACTGCATGTTTTTCCTTAATGGACAAAAGTGATAATAATCAAACAGTGAAGATTATTGGCCAGAAAGTCCAAAAGAAGCGGGAGGGGATGTTCACAAATAAAACGACTGAAACAGATTATAACTGCCTTCTTAAATCCGTTTTTCCTGACAGTTTTTCGACGTTCATCAATGTTATTAGTAATGGAAAGAAGGAGCGTAAAGTAACTTTGAAGAGGAGAGCACCATAATGCTGATAGTGATAGTGCTAGTGATATTGTTGAATTTTTCCTCTTACAGCGAAAAATAATCAAAATCAAGAAGTTCACTAAGACGTTAATGATCTTTACAAATAGCAGGGATGTCATGATGACGTCATTTATTTTTAATGATGGAACTAGAATCATCCGTCACCTTGGATTCGCCATTTTGAATATTAAATCTATTTCATTTTTAAAGGAAAAAATGCACATTTTTGAAACATGGCTGTCAATCCTCGGTTTCCTTGGTAACGTCAATGTTGCCACACAGGTCACCATGACTTTCATCTCCCAGAATGCTATAGTCTTTAATTGCAACAAGTACTTCAAGTGCCCAGTTTTTCCATGCGCGGCATAATAATTGAATAAATATAGGCTTTCGGAAAGACAGCTAAATGCTGACTACTCTCGTAAAAAACCTATTTTGAATATTTCTTCTTTGTTTCCTCTGCAGTTACAATTTATAGTTTGCCGTTTTAGAAGTGATCGTTACAATAGAAAAATCTCAAATTTTGATTAGCTTCATATTAATTTGATAATTTGTCATTTATATACGGTAAACATCGCCAAATTATATTTCCATAGCAGTTCAAAAAGAAATCGTTCTTTTTATTCATAAAGGTACTTGATTCTTATCCATTAAACCTTTTTTGTCGTAAATTTGCCACTGTGATTTTTTCATCATGCACTTTGTTTTGTTTCAAGTTTTTTTCATTAGTATTTATTCGTTTTAATAATGTTTCACGTGCAAACAAAAAAGCGTCGAGCATGCAGTCAACTCTCCACGCTTCAGAAAACCGTCTAATATTTTACAAATCCCCTGTTAGTTTTATTGGGCTTAAAACTGCTAGCATTTAGATAAGGTCTTTTATGTATTTGTTATCTATTTAGGAATGTAAAGCAAGTGGCTAGGCGCTAAAATTATGCATTTCTGGGGATAATTTCTTTTTACATATCGTATTCACTTCTGATTCGTCTGAATAAACAATGGCCATAACTTCATTGAAATTTAGCCGGAGTATTATGCGTAGTAGACGGAGAATTCTCCGATCTCCGATGCTTTACCTTGACGATCGCAGTTAAATCCAACTAATCCTGGCTCGCACGGATACTATGGGTAAACGAAGTAAAAACAAAGTTAGCGACTACACCCTATTAACTTTTGCACATGTAAGTTTTGGTTTTATCACCTGAGTGCAGTTGTTAAATAAACAATACAATTTTTCGAGCAATGATAGAAAAGTGATGGTGAGTTTTAAGCCTGGTGAATCTGACATGAATGACAAGATGGCTGTGTCGGAAGAGGTGAAAAATCCGAGTTCTCCCAATAGGAATCGAACCTATGTCACTGACTGGATAAACATCTTTCTCAACTTTCCGAACATTAGGCCTTCTTCACCAGTACTAGTTTAGAATTGGTTGGTTGTATGTGGCCACACACTTGATGGAAAAACATTGATCATAAAGGTTGAGACCGCTTATTTTTAAGGTGAAGCGTTCCACCACTGCCTTCTTGTATTTACTGCGTTTTTTTTTTTTCGGGGCTCTACTGCGTCGCTTTTTTAATAGTGGCGCCACTGGATTTGAGTAAAGCTGCGATTTTCAGTGGGTTAATTTGCATGGTAAAGTCTCTGAAAAAATTATCATCATTACTATTTAATTAAGGAACCGCGAGTAGAGAATTTAGTCAAACCAATAAAACAATGTGAAATTAAGCAAGTTTCTTTACAATAAATAGGGACAAAGGAATAACAGGACGCAAATTTCATCATCAGAATTGCTGACATATTTAGATCCTAAATTACTAAAAGTATTTGTAATGGGTCTCTTTCAACTTCTTCATTCTAGAAGCCATCATTGTTTACACGTTCATTTGCAGGTTTGAGTTACTCAACTTTACAATATAGGATATAAGAAAAACAAAAAACATTCAACTTACCCAAGGGCTGTAATGATTAAAAGCGAAGTTCACTTGAAGATCATCTATGGAAACTCTATGTTTGTCGATGTCTAGCAATTCGCACAAATAAAGATTTTCAGAGTCAGGACTGGCCGCGATGTTAAACGATTTGCACAGGGTCTCACTTACACAGTTGAACGTGCAGTCAATTATGTCTGAAACAAGGGAAGAGGCGATCTTAGTTCCTACTAACTTCTTGTGTTGGTCTAGTTGAAAATTCCCAAAGGCAGTTTGGTTCTTTAAGTCCCGATAAAGGTTGGCTTTCGGGAACGCTGCAATAGCGTTGTGCAGAAGGAATATGCTTATCAGAACATTTAAAATAGTTACAGCCATGTTTTTGCAGTGGAATTCATGTCTATTTCCAGTACGGTAATCAAACGCCCAGCTTTATGAGGTCTTTCTAGCTCAGTGAATCTTGTTATTTTTAATTACTCACCTTTGGGAATGTTTATAGAATCATACTGCGGATCAGTTGCCTTAGGGAAACAGACCAAAAGGCAATCAAGAATAAGACAAAAAATTCATAGTCAAATGTAATTAATTTTTTAACGAGGAGGCTAACATCAAAGAGTGCTGTACAAAAGGATCCCTAAATAATCTCATATAGCCTTATTAATCATTTTAGTCACTCTTTTAGATTACACTGTTTGGGGGGTCGGGGGCGGGGGGGGGGGAAGGGAGGGAGTTACTGCAATATGTTACTATTTGGTGCTAAAACGAAACATATTTTTGTTTCAGCAACCCCTCCACGGATTCTTCATAAGCTCACTTTAAATCATTAAAGGCCTAGGATAAATTTGAAAAGGCCTGATTAAATTTTACTTCTGTAGTATCTACACATGTTGGCAAGGAAACGTCACCAAGGACGAGCTAGTGATTATATGCATCTGATTTCTAATGTGTAGTTTCGGCTTCAACGTTGCCAATCTGTTTCTTGATAAAGAGGAGCTAAGGGGTCAGGACGGACCACAATCCTTTGAGGAGTGTGAAGAGCGAAAAATAAATCGACCCACAAAGCGACCCAACTTTTTCCCTCGGTCACTTCTTTTCCCAACCCAGAAGGGTAGAAAAGGAAGGGAAAGGTTTATATTTTTATTTTAATAGGAATCAATAAAGAGTACACTGAAGGTCCAGAAGTCGGCAATGGGATTTATAACTCTATCCTTGCCGAAAAAAAGGCCTCTGAATCGAAGATTTACATACCACTAGGATTAAAATTATAAAATTACCGTAAAAAATGATTCTTTAATACTAAGAACTTTCGGATCTTATAACAGGTGTTTACGCCTCAGTCTTCGAGCCGCTACAATCACGCTTTGTTGTAGTTCCACCCTTGTCAAAGTCAATCTTTCGGGTCGTTGGTTTGTTTTGGTCCAAAAAGGGCCAAATTTCTAGTGATTTGCATGGACACGCAAGTCTAATCTATATCCCAATTCAAGCTGCTGATATGCACTATTTATCATGATTGAAAGCATAGCAAAGTAGACCCGACGACTCTAGATGATTTTTATTATGATTATGATTATGATTATGATTATGATTTGATTTTTCTCTAGCACAGCGTCTACCGAATGGCAAAAACAATTAAATGCAAGCAGCCTGCTTGGATGAAAAGGACCTGAAACTTTGATGACGCTTTTAACTCTTTGTTTCAACGGTTATTTGCGCTTCCATAACTTATCTCCTTTTGACTGGGCAGTGGTATAATAGATCTAGGAGAATTAAAAAGAGTGATTGCCTTGATAGCTTTTAGCTTTTAGTTAAAACTACTAAAGAAAAAGTGCAGAGAGATTTCTTTGCTGAAAACCATATACTTAAGCTGAAGAGAATTTACATCAAGTTTAGCGAGATGTGGCAACGTATACCTTTACGTTTTTGGAAGCAGGAAGAACAAGGCAAAAAATTAAAATGTCTAGACAAAATGAAAAAAAAAAAAAATATATATATATATATGTGATAGGAGATGCGACAATCGTCATTACTGTTTTTATAGCCTAAGCCATTCCATAACACCTTAGTTTCCCAAGCGTATGATAGCCAGCCTCATCACCGTCTCCGGTATCCCCAAACCTTAATTGTATCACAGGGAGATGATTTTTGTTAGTGAGATTCCCACTATCCTCATGCCAGTAACTGCCAATATTTGCATCACAGTTGCAGCTATATGAGGTATCTACACATGTGTTTGGGGTTGCAACCCCGCATGCGCACTTTCTGAAATCATCTGGAGAGGCTCCACCCCAATACAACATCTGAATGCTGTCACGTGATACCCACCAGCCTGCTGGTGCAGAGCGGAAAAGCAGACTGCCTTTACACTCGTATTTGATAAACTGCTCGCAATATGCAGAGACCATCGGAATGCCAGATATTTGCGCGACCCTGCTCACTCCTACCCCGATGTAATAAACATTTCGCACATAACTTCCCTTTTCCTCGAAACCATCTACCAGAGTTCTATCTTCACTGTCGTGACTAAGTATAGTCACACCAACGCCATTCTTGTCTATCATGTCACAGTAGACGCTGAAGGAATTGTATCCTCCTTCGCCGTCGAGATCAATGACGTAAGAACCACTTAGGGCTTGAGTGCTACGAGATTTTATTTCGCTGCAGGTTTCACCTAAATGGGAAAGAGAAATACATAATAGGGCAATTAGCTTTGCGTTAAGTCCTGAGCATATTGATTAGCGGGTTTTATCCTAGAACAGAAAGTGTGAAAACAGCAACAACAACAACCAAACAAATAAACGATTAAACAATCAATAATCACCATATACAGTAAGTCTGCCAATGGCCAATCGTATACAGTTGTCTCTCAAAACTTAACGATAATACCTACACCACAGGAAACATTCGCTCCATGTAAGGGAATCTGGATTCCGAAATACGGGAAAAATTTTGCTTGTGGAATCCGGAATCTCCGAATTTGGAATCCGGAATCCAAGTTCCATTGACAAAGAATCCAGAATCCAGTGTTTGGAATTATTAGTTGGAATTATTACTTTTACTTTTCAAATACATTTCACTTTCTCGTGATTGCTTGAGCCGATAAGAACTTACCTCGGAAGTTTTCATGGATACTTCTGGCAATTTCACCTAGAGAAAAACAGTCGCACGCGAAATTTAGTCTCCCCGTGGGCAACAGCCATTTGCCCATGGGTAGCTCAACCGTACCTTTTTTAAGTGTGTAAACGGAGGCTTGATTCGCTTTTATCCCGTGCTCAATCTGTTTATTATATGTCAATATGTATTTCAATGGTGTTGTTAGTTTTAACTGAAAGCTGTGGATTTAGACGAGGAATCGGCATTAATCTTTAATCTTTAATCGTTAATCACAGTTCGTAACCATACATAACTGATACAAATGAACTAATACTAACATATACAATCGAACAAAAATACAAAAATGGTTAACAGGACGGTAGTAGAAATGGCCATAACTTCATTGAAATTTAGCCGGAGTATTATGCGTAGTAGACGGAGAATTCTCCGATCTCCGATGCTTTACCTTGACGATCGCAGTTAAATCCAACTAATCCTGGCTCGCACGGATACTATGGGTAAACGAAGTAAAAACAAAGTTAGCGACTACACCCTATTAACTTTTGCACATGTAAGTTTTGGTTTTATCACCTGAGTGCAGTTGTTAAATAAACAATACAATTTTTCGAGCAATGATAGAAAAGTGATGGTGAGTTTTAAGCCTGGTGAATCTGACATGAATGACAAGATGGCTGTGTCGGAAGAGGTGAAAAATCCGAGTTCTCCCAATAGGAATCGAACCTATGTCACTGACTGGATAAACATCTTTCTCAACTTTCCGAACATTAGGCCTTCTTCACCAGTACTAGTTTAGAATTGGTTGGTTGTATGTGGCCACACACTTGATGGAAAAACATTGATCATAAAGGTTGAGACCGCTTATTTTTAAGGTGAAGCGTTCCACCACTGCCTTCTTGTATTTACTGCGTTTTTTTTTTTTCGGGGCTCTACTGCGTCGCTTTTTTAATAGTGGCGCCACTGGATTTGAGTAAAGCTGCGATTTTCAGTGGGTTAATTTGCATGGTAAAGTCTCTGAAAAAATTATCATCATTACTATTTAATTAAGGAACCGCGAGTAGAGAATTTAGTCAAACCAATAAAACAATGTGAAATTAAGCAAGTTTCTTTACAATAAATAGGGACAAAGGAATAACAGGACGCAAATTTCATCATCAGAATTGCTGACATATTTAGATCCTAAATTACTAAAAGTATTTGTAATGGGTCTCTTTCAACTTCTTCATTCTAGAAGCCATCATTGTTTACACGTTCATTTGCAGGTTTGAGTTACTCAACTTTACAATATAGGATATAAGAAAAACAAAAAACATTCAACTTACCCAAGGGCTGTAATGATTAAAAGCGAAGTTCACTTGAAGATCATCTATGGAAACTCTATGTTTGTCGATGTCTAGCAATTCGCACAAATAAAGATTTTCAGAGTCAGGACTGGCCGCGATGTTAAACGATTTGCACAGGGTCTCACTTACACAGTTGAACGTGCAGTCAATTATGTCTGAAACAAGGGAAGAGGCGATCTTAGTTCCTACTAACTTCTTGTGTTGGTCTAGTTGAAAATTCCCAAAGGCAGTTTGGTTCTTTAAGTCCCGATAAAGGTTGGCTTTCGGGAACGCTGCAATAGCGTTGTGCAGAAGGAATATGCTTATCAGAACATTTAAAATAGTTACAGCCATGTTTTTGCAGTGGAATTCATGTCTATTTCCAGTACGGTAATCAAACGCCCAGCTTTATGAGGTCTTTCTAGCTCAGTGAATCTTGTTATTTTTAATTACTCACCTTTGGGAATGTTTATAGAATCATACTGCGGATCAGTTGCCTTAGGGAAACAGACCAAAAGGCAATCAAGAATAAGACAAAAAATTCATAGTCAAATGTAATTAATTTTTTAACGAGGAGGCTAACATCAAAGAGTGCTGTACAAAAGGATCCCTAAATAATCTCATATAGCCTTATTAATCATTTTAGTCACTCTTTTAGATTACACTGTTTGGGGGGTCGGGGGCGGGGGGGGGGGAAGGGAGGGAGTTACTGCAATATGTTACTATTTGGTGCTAAAACGAAACATATTTTTGTTTCAGCAACCCCTCCACGGATTCTTCATAAGCTCACTTTAAATCATTAAAGGCCTAGGATAAATTTGAAAAGGCCTGATTAAATTTTACTTCTGTAGTATCTACACATGTTGGCAAGGAAACGTCACCAAGGACGAGCTAGTGATTATATGCATCTGATTTCTAATGTGTAGTTTCGGCTTCAACGTTGCCAATCTGTTTCTTGATAAAGAGGAGCTAAGGGGTCAGGACGGACCACAATCCTTTGAGGAGTGTGAAGAGCGAAAAATAAATCGACCCACAAAGCGACCCAACTTTTTCCCTCGGTCACTTCTTTTCCCAACCCAGAAGGGTAGAAAAGGAAGGGAAAGGTTTATATTTTTATTTTAATAGGAATCAATAAAGAGTACACTGAAGGTCCAGAAGTCGGCAATGGGATTTATAACTCTATCCTTGCCGAAAAAAAGGCCTCTGAATCGAAGATTTACATACCACTAGGATTAAAATTATAAAATTACCGTAAAAAATGATTCTTTAATACTAAGAACTTTCGGATCTTATAACAGGTGTTTACGCCTCAGTCTTCGAGCCGCTACAATCACGCTTTGTTGTAGTTCCACCCTTGTCAAAGTCAATCTTTCGGGTCGTTGGTTTGTTTTGGTCCAAAAAGGGCCAAATTTCTAGTGATTTGCATGGACACGCAAGTCTAATCTATATCCCAATTCAAGCTGCTGATATGCACTATTTATCATGATTGAAAGCATAGCAAAGTAGACCCGACGACTCTAGATGATTTTTATTATGATTATGATTATGATTATGATTATGATTTGATTTTTCTCTAGCACAGCGTCTACCGAATGGCAAAAACAATTAAATGCAAGCAGCCTGCTTGGATGAAAAGGACCTGAAACTTTGATGACGCTTTTAACTCTTTGTTTCAACGGTTATTTGCGCTTCCATAACTTATCTCCTTTTGACTGGGCAGTGGTATAATAGATCTAGGAGAATTAAAAAGAGTGATTGCCTTGATAGCTTTTAGCTTTTAGTTAAAACTACTAAAGAAAAAGTGCAGAGAGATTTCTTTGCTGAAAACCATATACTTAAGCTGAAGAGAATTTACATCAAGTTTAGCGAGATGTGGCAACGTATACCTTTACGTTTTTGGAAGCAGGAAGAACAAGGCAAAAAATTAAAATGTCTAGACAAAATGAAAAAAAAAAAAAATATATATATATATATGTGATAGGAGATGCGACAATCGTCATTACTGTTTTTATAGCCTAAGCCATTCCATAACACCTTAGTTTCCCAAGCGTATGATAGCCAGCCTCATCACCGTCTCCGGTATCCCCAAACCTTAATTGTATCACAGGGAGATGATTTTTGTTAGTGAGATTCCCACTATCCTCATGCCAGTAACTGCCAATATTTGCATCACAGTTGCAGCTATATGAGGTATCTACACATGTGTTTGGGGTTGCAACCCCGCATGCGCACTTTCTGAAATCATCTGGAGAGGCTCCACCCCAATACAACATCTGAATGCTGTCACGTGATACCCACCAGCCTGCTGGTGCAGAGCGGAAAAGCAGACTGCCTTTACACTCGTATTTGATAAACTGCTCGCAATATGCAGAGACCATCGGAATGCCAGATATTTGCGCGACCCTGCTCACTCCTACCCCGATGTAATAAACATTTCGCACATAACTTCCCTTTTCCTCGAAACCATCTACCAGAGTTCTATCTTCACTGTCGTGACTAAGTATAGTCACACCAACGCCATTCTTGTCTATCATGTCACAGTAGACGCTGAAGGAATTGTATCCTCCTTCGCCGTCGAGATCAATGACGTAAGAACCACTTAGGGCTTGAGTGCTACGAGATTTTATTTCGCTGCAGGTTTCACCTAAATGGGAAAGAGAAATACATAATAGGGCAATTAGCTTTGCGTTAAGTCCTGAGCATATTGATTAGCGGGTTTTATCCTAGAACAGAAAGTGTGAAAACAGCAACAACAACAACCAAACAAATAAACGATTAAACAATCAATAATCACCATATACAGTAAGTCTGCCAATGGCCAATCGTATACAGTTGTCTCTCAAAACTTAACGATAATACCTACACCACAGGAAACATTCGCTCCATGTAAGGGAATCTGGATTCCGAAATACGGGAAAAATTTTGCTTGTGGAATCCGGAATCTCCGAATTTGGAATCCGGAATCCAAGTTCCATTGACAAAGAATCCAGAATCCAGTGTTTGGAATTATTAGTTGGAATTATTACTTTTACTTTTCAAATACATTTCACTTTCTCGTGATTGCTTGAGCCGATAAGAACTTACCTCGGAAGTTTTCATGGATACTTCTGGCAATTTCACCTAGAGAAAAACAGTCGCACGCGAAATTTAGTCTCCCCGTGGGCAACAGCCATTTGCCCATGGGTAGCTCAACCGTACCTTTTTTAAGTGTGTAAACGGAGGCTTGATTCGCTTTTATCCCGTGCTCAATCTGTTTATTATATGTCAATATGTATTTCAATGGTGTTGTTAGTTTTAACTGAAAGCTGTGGATTTAGACGAGGAATCGGCATTAATCTTTAATCTTTAATCGTTAATCACAGTTCGTAACCATACATAACTGATACAAATGAACTAATACTAACATATACAATCGAACAAAAATACAAAAATGGTTAACAGGACGGTAGTAGGGGGAAACCAAATTCCCATGCTAAGACACACCCTCCAAAAAAGAAAAAAGAAAAAAAAAATAATTAATTAATATATAAACATATATTAAAAGACTATAAATTAGACTATAAATTATAAACCTAGATGCCTAATAATAATGCATAAACTTATAGTAAAGACACTATGCCTAGTATTTTAAGGTAAATTATGAGCGAAGGTACTTAATCAGTGAAACTTTAAAAGACTGAAGGCTAGGAGATGACATTACTTCATTCAATCTATATGTTCAAACTGGTGTGACTGATGTACCTCTTCGCTCGCAGTGCTTCCCTGCAAACCCCGGATGACAATCACAGCTATAAGAATAGTTTTCAAAGTCAGGAATACAGTCACCATTGTTTCCACAACGTTCTTCTTGAAAAGGGTCCTGTGTATAAAATGAAACCTAATAGGCAGAAACAAAACCTAACATATACCATAATTTTTTTTTTTTTAATTATTGACTCCGGTCCTAAGGCCTATCGTACATAGTTAATCACCCACAACTAGACATGGGCCTTTGGGACATCGCACTATGTCCCTTCGACTGCCAAAACACAAAAACAGAAACTAGATCAAGGCCTTTGACTAAAATCTGCCGTTTTATAATTAAGTTGATATTTTATTTATCAGGAAAAGTAAATATAAAAGAGAGAACCGATTGGACGCTTGTCGGCAGTGCTAGAAGTGAATAGTCAGTTATTAAACTAATATGATTCACCTCTGCTAGTTTGAGTCCAGCGTAGGAGCTCTCTTATAGTTAAAATTTACAAATACAAGAAAGAAAGAACTGAACAGAGTAGTTGCAACTACACTTACCCAAAGGCTGTAATGATGAAATGACGAATTGGGTTGGAACTTTGTTTTAGCTCTGTATTTGTCAGTGGCCAATAGTTCACACAAATAAGAGCCTGCTAAGTCTGGATATGAGGCTGTGTTGCATGAATAACACCTCGGTTCATTGATACAGCTGAAAGAACACTCCGACTGTTTCTCGACTAAAAAGGAAGCAATTTTTTCTACACCTCCTAAGGAATGGTTTGAATGCTGTACGAACTTGGCATAAGAGAGAAATTCTTTGTATTGACGGCTAACAGCGCCGTTCTGTTCAACCACAACAGGGGACGCTTTAGGCAGACTTGAAACCAGAAATAAGGTACAAGTAAATAACGCCACGATCTCTGATACATTCAACTGAAATGAAAGCTACAGGCAGCTGCCACTTTGTTTTACCATAAAGACTTCATGAAGAGGTGAAATTAACAGACATCAATAATCCGGTAAGTAAACAGATTTATTGAATACTCTGTTGACAGTTACCAATCTTGCTGATTACTAGACAGGTGGTTCCCTTTTGAGATTCATTTCAATATAAATTACGTTCTCGAGAGCATCCACTTTTGTTTAATCATCAAAATTGGGACCACTCGTTCACTCAGTGTGCTATAATTGTCTATTTCAGTTGTGTTTTCCATTTCGCAAATCTCTATAACTAGACGCTTGCTTTCCTAAAAATAATGTTACTTAAGGTGGCTCGACTGGATTTTTTGGGGTTGATACCTCCCAAGTTTGAGCATTAACTACGTCGGTATGAGTAAAGATATGGAAAAGAGGTTACCTCAACTGTATTATATAAAGATGAAAATTTCTTATTATCTGGGTTTTATTGCAATCGGAGTCGAGATGGCAACGTAATGACGCCATTACGTTTTTCATTTATCTTTGTGTTTCTCTGTACCAGGAGTTTTATTGAAGAAATCGCTTAAGGGAGTATGTACCTGCCATAATTGCCTCCATTATGGCAAAGTTTGAAGAAATTCTATGAGAGCGTTTTCGAGATATTTCGAAATACAGTTTTAAGAATCATCAAAGCAGTGAAATAGCATGCTAGCCGCTCAATTCGCTAATATTTTAAGAAAATGATAAGCTTTGGGAACGCGGCTTCATCTCATAGTGGTTTGATTCCATTGCAAACTGCATACAAAAAAAGAGGGGAATTGCTCTGGGCGATCGCGAGTAAGAAGAATTTTATTAACTTGCATTCAGCTTTTTTTGATACAGTTTTTGGAGGTAATTTGGTCCATGCCTAAAAATTTCGCATTTTTCCAAAAACCGCTCGATAAATTTTTTTATAAATTCGACAATCCCGAGATCAATCGTCAAGAAATATTCCCTGCAAGTTTCAAGAACATTGAAAACAGGGAAGGCTTTTAAATAGGGACTCAAACATAACCAATTTTCCCCCCAGATTTTGTGTTTACAAATGAGCGTCCTCATTATTCGCTGGCATTGTTTTCAAGTTTCATATGCACGTGCACAACTAGCCAAAGATATAAATTTGTATCAAAAAGAACTCTCGATTTACTTTCCGAAGAAATATTCCGTATATGCTAATAATTGGCTTGTCGTCACAGATAGCAGTGAGAGTCGAAACGGTGAACGTCACGGCTCATCGTGTAGGATGCAATACTTAATTATCTTACTCGGGTTATAACATCACAGAAACTCTCACAAAGAGTTGCTCTGATGTTATAATGTATCACTAACCTCTTTACCCGGTAATTAGCACATCCCGGAGATTTAACCGAGGGTCCTTTTTGATGCAAATTCTATCTTTTTGCTAAATGTGCACGTGTATATGAAACTTGAAAACAATGCCAGTGAATAATGAGGACGCTCACTTGTAAACACAGAATCTGGGGGGAAAATTGGCTACATTTAAGGCCCTATTTAAAAGCCTTCCCTGTTTTCAATGTTCTTAAAACTCGCATGGAATATTTCTTGACGATTGATCTCGGGATTGTCGAATTTATAAAAAAATTTATCGAGCGGTTTTTGGAAAAATGCGAAATGTTTAGGCCTTGACCAAATTACCTCCAAAAACTGTATCAAAAGCAGCTGAATGCAAGTTAATAAAATTCTTCTTACTCGCGATCGCCCAGAGCAATTCCCCTCTTTTGGTATGTAGTTTTAAAAGGAATCAATCCACTATGAGATGAAGCCGCGTTCCCAAAGCTTATCATTTTCTTAAAATATTAGCGAATTGTGCGGCTAGCATGCTATTTCACTGTTTTTATGATTCTTAAAACTGCATTCCAAAATATCTCGAAAACGCTCTCATAGAATTTCTTCAAACTTTGCCGTAATGGAGGCGATTATGGCAGGTACATACTCCCTTAAGCGATATCTTCAAAAAACTCCTGGTACAGAGAAACACAAAGATAAATGAAAAACGTAATGGCGTCATTACATTGCCATGGTGACTCCGATTGCAATACAACCCAGATCATAAGAAATTTCCATCTTTATGTAATACAGTTGTGGTAACCTTTTTTCCATATCTTTACTCATACCGACGTAGTTAAGGCTCAAACTTGGGCGGTATCCGCCTAAAAAAATCCAGTCGAGCCACCTTAAGAGTGGTTGTCAGAGAAAACCGGGCAAAATGTTAAAAATGTCAACGGAAGGGGGTCGACAGAATAAGTTCATACTAACATCATAGATAGGTCTGGTGGAGTAATGGACAAATATACCAAACATAGGTTCTTCACTGCTCTTGTATTAGAGATACGAGCATCACTTTTTTCGACCCCCTAGGACGCCATTTTTATAAGCAAATTTTCACCATTTTCTGAAACTCACAGAACCCTCCAAATTTAACGAGCGAAGTTTATTTTTTGTATGCGATACAACACATCACAGAACTAGTTTCTAAAACCATAAGATTTGTTAAGTATCTCAGTGTCTGCAAACGAGCAAAAAATCGGGCATTTTTGAATTGATCTACAGCGCACAACTAAAACGACAGAACAACTCTGACAGCTAAATTGCAGTCTACTATCATCCATGTAACCAAAACACTAATAATCATTTTGGGCCATTGAAACAGGAAGAAATTAGAAAACTCACATTTGTTATAGTTTCCAAGCTTTTTCTTGTAAACAGGCTGATCCCTTCGTGTTTGTTTTTAGTCCTCTTCGTGAAATTTCCTTCATATTTCGCTGTAAAGTATGCTCAGCAGCTGGAGAACATATAAAAAAGCTCGAAATACTGCCTAGGTTACATTTTCAAAGGGCAAAAAGTGCTGAACGATAGGGTGAAACTAGAAAATAACAAAGCGACGCCATCTTGAAAATTCACCACTCAGGAAGGACTGGCACTAGTAGCTGCGTTCGATATCTAACATAAGGACAAAAGTTGCAAATTTTTCACGACTCAATTGTCTCGTAATTCCCAAAAGAGACTTGAGCACATAGAAAACCAAACCTAATACAGAAATGTAACCAGAAAGCCTCGGATTCATGTAAGAAGTTCCTTTATCGAACGTTGGCTATTACGATCTATTACCAGGAGCCTATGGGCTCCTGTAATTACCAGTAAGAAAAAAACCAAAACACAAACAAACCAGCTTATCAGCGACCTAATCCAGCCTTATTTCTTCTTCAGTTACTTCTTTTAGTTGAATTTAGCTTGTTTTTCTTTCAAAGGCAAAAACAAGAAGAACGCTTGATCGCAGGTTGATTGCTTCATTCCCTCCTCATTTCGAGGTGTCCCATGAATGTAGATAATATTAAAGATCTATTTTGTCTCTTTATGAATCACTTAACTTCACTCTTCTAGACTTGCTATATACCAACCTCGCGAGTTTCTAAGCGTGCGGGCTCACTACGGGCAGTAGATATTGCTTGCTGTAAAATTTGCAATAATTTTTATCACCTAAAATAAACAACGAGGGGGGGGGGGGTGGGGGACTCTGCATATGAAAGTGCTGGGGATGCTCGTCGTCTCGCTTAGGGGTGTAAATTTCGGATTTTTGTCTCATTTAGGGTGTTCTGGGCAAAACGCCATCATATTTAGCCGTGATGGTCTCGTTTAGGGTAGCATGCGAAAAAAGATAAAAAGATATATTTGATATGTATATTTTAATTCGTTTTATTTACTCCATTCATATCATCCAAGTTTTTTCATTTGTCTGTGTTTCAACATACTCTCTTTTAGGGATCAAAAAAAGCTTGGGCCACGCCCAGATCGGTCTCCTTTAGGGGTTTAATTCAACATAGCTAAGGTGGCTCCCCGTGACCAGTTTTCTTAAATATACACTTGGAGTTTTAGCATTTAAATGTGTTAAGGGGTTAGCCCCTAGCTACCTTTGTCATAGATTTAAGACACGTGATTGCGTTCATGACCGTAATACTAGATATAAGAATAACTTGAATATCCCAGCTTATAAGTTAGCTTCTGGGCAACGCACATTTTTATACCGTGTAACGAGTTTCTGGAATTCTCTTCCATGCGAAATAAGAGGATGTGATAATTTGCCAATCTTCAAGAGACATTTAAAGGAATTTCTCAGTAGTTTTTAATCAGTAATGTGATATATTTTAACATCTATTAGAATTTTAGATTTTTAATTTTAATGTATTTAGTATTGATTGTAATAAGTTTTTAAAACCCATTTAGTTGAAAATTAATAAACACATTCATACATTCACATTCATTCATTTCCGACGAGCATCCCCACCCGCGTGGGCTATAAACCTACCAATGTAGGAAGAAGAAGTCATTGAAAAAGAGGAACAGGAAGTCGTCGAAGAATATGACTCTGACTTTGATTCCAATTTATCTTCGCTTCAACTATCTGAGAATGAAGAGATGGAGAGTGATGTTGTGGTGCCTTCAACCTTGAAAACGCCAAATGGCAGACAGATAAAAGCAGTGGTTAGGCTGGATTTGTAAGACCTCTTGTAAAAAACTGATATTCAGCCTGCTTCGATATGGTGTTCAAGAAAATTGCAAACTGGAAAGTTGGATAAAACTCAATTTTGGGAGTGTTTAGGATAAGGGATTTGTAGAAAATAACGCTAGAAACGGCCATAAACGTCTGCGGGACTATGTTGTGCAAATTAATTGACTAAACGTTTTTTTTTTTTTTGCTGCTTACTGACTGAGTAGCGAGTTATGAGCTGTTTACTGACTAAGAAGCATTTTTTTAGATGTTTACTGACTGTAGCTATACCCCATTGACACCCTCTTAAACGACTAGACCATACCCCAAAGAATTTGTGTATACTGAGGGGGCTCTTAGTTATTCTCTCCGTGAGAAAACTACCTTTTGCGAAGATAAATTTACAGCTGTATTTTATGGAAAAAAGCCT